AATCTGTTTGTTTTCTTGGCAGTCCATGGTACATTCAATACTCTTCTCCAGCACCACAGCTCAAAGGCATCAATTCTCCTTCTATTCTCCCTAGTCATTGTCCAGCTCTCTGATGCATAACAAGTAATTGCAAAGACTATGGCCTGTATCAGGCGCACCTTATTCTCCAGAGAGACACCGTTGCTCTTGAGTACTTTAGAGAGGTTCCTAACAGCAGACTTTCCCATCGTGATACATTTTTTGATTTCCTGGCTGCTGGTGTCAAGAGTGTTGACCATGGAATTCCAAATCTTTTTTCATAATTCATAAACTTCTTCTTGTTGTTATTGTGGTTAGGTGCTGTCAAGTCACATATGACTCATAGTGATTCTATAAACAACAAATATACTCATAAACTAATAAATCAAATTTAAGATCAGGAGAACCTGAAGCAAAGAATAAGTGGCTAGTGACTGATGTTCTATCAAACACTGAAATTACCTATGATCATTTGAGTGGGTCAGCAAATGCAATATAATTTGCTGGAATCTACTTTTGTTGCAGTAGTGGTATCAGGATTGGAAGAAAACTCACCAACAATCTGTACTATGAAGATACCACCACTTTGCTTGCTGATAGTAAGGGGGGATCTAAGATGCTTGTTGCAGAAGATAAAAGAATACAGCCTTCACTATGGATAGCATCTTAACATCAAGAAGATAGATTTTTACCACTTGGCCAGTAGGCAACATCATGATACATGGAAAAAGGATTGAAAAGCTGACTTGTGATTGCTCTGAGATAAAGTTTGCTGGACGACTGAGAAAACGAAACTAGAGGCTTCTTGCATTTGTGCTGCTGAACTGAACTTGCATTTTTACTAATTGAGAAATTGTGTTTTGTTAATCTGGCTTGGGACTGCTGAACTAAACCTGCACTTACACTGTATGAAATTCTTTGCCTCCCCCACTCCTCCCCAACCTATTTTCCTAATAAACCCCACAACTGTGAATAAAATCACTTTGCCATGAATAATGGAGTCAATGATTCCTCGAAATAGGGGCAGGAGCATGAGTGGTGGCATGTCTGACCTTGTAGCTATTTGTTTTATACAGTGGATATTATTGATGAGGACAGTTCCCTTTCATGAAGTGGGTAGAAAGTCAAACTTGGCCACCTCTAGGTTGCATCTCCTCCCTTTACAATGTCTCATAGTGACCCTATAAACAACAGATCTAGAGCTTTGCCCTCTCCTGCACCATTCTCACCACGTCTTGTCAGGCTTGTGCGCATTATTACGCTTACAGTGTCAATTCATCTTGGTGAGGACCTTCAAGTCTTTTGCTGACCTTCCACCTTTCCCAGCATGATTTATTTATTTATTTATTTTCCCAGGGAGTAACCCACCTCACAATACGTTCAAAGAATATGTGCTTCACCATCCTTACCTCTGCGTAGCACTCTGGTTTTACTTCGTCTAAGACAGATTTGTTGTTGTATATAGAGTTTTCAAAGGCATTATATTTCAGAAGTGGACGGCCAATCCTTCCTTCTTCTAAGTCTGTCTTAATTAGATTGCTCAGATTTAGAACATTATCTGACAGACAAGCATGCTTCAGAGAGCTGAACAATGACTAGGGATGACAGAAGAAGAGCTAATGCCTTTGAGCTTTGGTGCTGGAGAAGAGTATTGAATATACCATGGACTTTTAGGAGAACAAACAAGTTCATCTTGGAGAGGGTGAAGCCAGGCTGCTCCTTGGAAACAAGGATTCTGAAGCTTTGTCTGACATACTTTGAACATGTGCAAGGAGGGACCAGTCCTTGGAGAAGGATGTCATACTTGGGAGGGTGGAGGGACAGCGTAGGAGAGGAAGACCCTCAATGAGATGGATTGATTCCATCACTGAGGTAATGGGGATAGACATGTCGGAGACAGTGAAATTGGCTAAGGATAGAGCAGGGTTAGGGCTGTTGTACATGGGGTCACTATGAGTCGCAAGTGAGTCGATGGCACCTAACAACAACAACGAGAAGACAGATGTATTTGTTTATTTGTCAGTCTGTGTGATAGTCAACATTCTTGGCCAATATCACAATTCAAAGCCATCAATTCTTCTTTATTAATCCTTATTTATTGTCCAACTTTCAGATAAGCAGAAAGAAACTGAAATCACTATCACTTGGATCAGTTGCACCTTGCTCTTTAAATGGACATTCTTGGTCTTTAGCACTTTAAAGAAGCCCTTTAATGAACTGGAGAGATAGAGATATAGAGATAGAGATGATAGAGATGAGAGAGAGAATATATTTATACACACACACACACACACACACACACACACACACACACACTTTCATGGGGGAGCCAAAATGATAATTTGTCTTGTGACAAAAGAAAATCAGTGTACAAATCAGTGAATATTTAAAATATTGTAGCACTATAATTTAAGGAATTCATCCTAAGAAGAAAATAGTTCATCTATGAAAAACATCTGAAGTGTTATGGGATTACCATTTAACAAATGACACTACTTCTATGTCAGACAAAAGGTGTGATATTTTCAGTTTCTTTTCCATTTGAAAGTGCTTTTATAAAGATTTAAAAATATCTTAGGATAATAGAATGTTCTAGATTTTCAAATACACTAATATAAACATATTCATATATTTTAAGTTGCAGAAAGCTAGTCTAAAAGAGTAAGAAATTTAGACTTCCTAAATTTATTTGTTTATTGTGACATCAAAAATTGTGTCTTATAAAGGATGGATATTTTAAAAATATGTGAATTTTATTTTAGTCGGATAGATGGGTCTTGGAACCAGCACTGACATTTTGCTCGAATCTAGCAGTCATATTCCAAACAGGGCCAAGCCATTTGACTCTAGAGTTTGAAAGAAAGCTGCTGAAAACAGCTTAAGAACTAGCTCACTTGAAGGCAATGGAAAGAAATTTTAAATTTACAGTGTGACTACTCATTTCCTCTTAAGAATTTCTCTTGCTTTTTTCTAAAAAATTTTCTGTGGTTTCTGAATTCCTTACACAACACTGATAAAGATCGGACTGGAAAACTAAGTGTTGTTGTTGTTGTTATGTGCTGTCGAGTCGTTTGCCACTCATATCGACCCTACGCACAACAGCCCTAAACCCTGCTCTATCCTGCTCCAACCACACTGCCTCTGACACACCCATCCCGATTACCCCAGTCACCGAATCAATCCATCTCATAGAGGGTCT